ATTGTCACCATCGGCTCCACTCTCAGTACCTGTTTTTTTTTTTGCAAATACATTTTATTTTTTTGTGTTCCTCATTATTCAGCAATTACAAAGTCTCCAGGAAACCACTCAAACTACCTTTCGCTCGTAATCGATCTCCAGGATGTCGACTAGATTCACGTCGATTTGGTGCAGGCTTCCTTTGTACGCCGGCCTTCTAAACGAGACGGTCTGCCAACCAGGTCTGGCCGTGCACATTCTCCTCGTCCTCCCCGACTCTATCCAATCCAGGACCTAAACAATACTTAATTTTCCAATTACAGAAATCCATAACGAGCAAATTGGGGTGCTTTCAGCTCTCAAACAGCTTGGAAAATAATTATTTTCAATCAATTGCACTTCAACCCTCAATACCATAGTATTATACAATGAAAATTTCACATCATTTAATAAAAAAATTGATAGATACAAATTGTTTCCATATTTTTTTTTAGAAAATACATTTTTCACGTCTGTCTATTTTATTTATTTACTTGATGATAACCTGTTTAATTAGATTCCAAATATGGAAATTATAGCCAAAACTATGGTTTATTGACTAATCTATAAGTAACATTAATTTGTAACGCGAATTTTAACGAAAATAATCCTAACATATTTAAGATAAATATAAACTGAACTTTTTGATTAAATCAATTTTTTTTTTAAATAAATGAAAATTTCCATATTCCTTCATATTCATTCAAACGTAATAAATACACTTTAATATATACACTTTCTCATTTATTTTGTATTTGCTCGGATAAATAGAGCTTAGCTGAAATTAGCCAAGACCATTAATTATAATAATAACGGACGAAGACAAAGAAATTAATTCGAAAATACACAACAGTAATCGCCAACCTCGTTATTTCCACGTAATCCTGAGATGTTTAATGGTAGTCATTAGTTCTTAACTACCGATAACATATTATTTATTACTTGTTTTTTCTTTTAATTGCCTATTGTTCCATATCGAATATTTCACTCTCAATTTGAACGCCATTTGATAACAAAAATATAGTTAATTAGAAATTTTAGTTTTTACTGTAAATCATTTTATTTGCTATTGTTATTGATAGTAAATAAAGCAATTATTAATTTCATTCGTGCATTACATTAAGATTTATCTAATTGGGGATAGAGTGGTTACACCAGAAGTGTCTATGAGATACTTTATATGTGCTGTTTAAAAAATTAAGCAATGTGCCTATAGGATGATACTTAGATTTGTGACTTCTATTTATTGTAAATTCTAGATAGTAGTAAAAGTAAGATTTTATAGTATAAAATAAATATGGTGGAAAACTAAAAATATGTTTACTTGTCTAAATGGAACGAATAAAATGAAACAAATAAATTCAATTATGTAATGTATTAGACTGCACAGATCTAAAAAATAAAAAGTTATTTCTCAGTTTCCGGTAGAGCAGGAAGTCTATTTGTAACGTCAAATTCCAATTGAGAATGGATATTTAGTTCTCAAGCTAGGATTGCCTGATAACATATTCTATTATTATTTGATGGATCGGTGAGATTCGTACCATTATAAATATTTGTCGGGCTTTGGAAGTGGATAAAAAGATGGTATCGGTATTGAATGGATGAAATATGAGACGACCGTCGTTCTTTGGCGAACACACACACATACACATTTCTGGTCGGTTGGCGAGGAAGGGGGGAAGAGCAAACACTGGATATTATCCGAGAAATTACCTGTTTTGTATCATATACAAAAAAATGGGGGGAAAATTATTGGCGAGCCGTGACGATGCGACCGTGGGTCTCACTTAAGCAATATAATTTATTGGCAGATTGGAATGATCGAAGTCCACAAAAGCCGGATTCACTACAAGTTTCTTTATGACATAGGCCGAAACGGAAAGAGGTATTATATTGTAAGGCAATTAGTCGGGGTTTAAATGCTAATTGTTTTATGAGAGCAAATTAACAAAGTTTCAGGTAGCAAACAAACACGTTTATTGGTTTATTTTATGAATGGAATTCCACATAAATGAATACAAATTTTGAACTGTTTATTTATTTTATTTTTTTTTCACATTTGAAGCTATAAAACGATTATTTGCAATGAAAATACTACTGTTTACTAATAATAAACTATTTTTCAAACTAAATAACATAAAACATTTTCTTATATAGAAATTTTAAATGGATTTATATATGAACACTTCAATTTATTTGGAAGAAGTATTATAATCTTTGAAAATTGGGGTGGTCCCTTATGTTTCTTGGTCATCGACTCATCGAATATTTTGTCGAAACTCGAGACTATTTGGGAATTCGTTCAAACCAATAACGCGTATCGAATTCCCAAAGGAAATATTCTCTTCGTAATGAAAAACTGTCATACAAAACAAGCAGATTTTCTAAATTCATCATCTATTTTTGTTATACTATTATATTTTTTCTGGTCCTTGTCGAGGAATGACAGGTATGTATTATATAAATTTGTAATTCAATTGCAACTTTAGTCAAAATTTACCACAATTTGACAATGTGACATGTTAAGTTATGTAACTGGTTAGATTGTTTACTAAAATAATGTACATATGATCAAGTGTAGTGATTTATATACGAATACAGTAATGATCACTGTTTCTTATTGAGTATATGTTTATATATAAACAATGCAAAATGCTTATATAATAGTTTCTAATTAAGAGATTTGTAGCAAAGTCGACTTTGGATGATTGGTTTGGATCAATAAGCGAGAGCACGTCCGCCGAAGATAAGAGCGCACAATAAACAGTGACATTGTTATCCTTATCGAAGACATTTGTCGGGCGGCCGGGGTCATAGTGCACGGGGCCAATTGACGTCTACGCTGAACCCTTTAGGGTGGACCATTCCGGTCCTGCCCGAGATTGACGATTTGACAATAGGGGGTTTGGTAATGGGAACCGGAATCGAGTCAACTTCACATAAGCACGGACTGTTCCAGCACATTTGCGTGTCGTACGAGCTTGTCCTTTGCGACGGAAGCGTCGTGAAGTGCACGAAGGATGAGAACCATGAACTGTTCGAGTCGGTGCCTTGGTCGTACGGCACCCTGGGTTTTCTGACTGCAGTCGAGATTATGATGGTACCGGCGAAGAAGTATGTCCGGCTGAAGTACGAGGCCGTCAATGGGTGCGCCACAATGGTCGAGGAATTCGAGAAGGCAAGCGCGGATCCTGGCAACGAATTCGTGGAGGGTATTATGTTTAGCGAGAATCAGGGAGTCATAATGACCGGAAACCTTACCGATACACCTGAGCACAATAAGGTGATTGATGGGGAGGGCCGCCTCTGCCAAAACTGTTCCACCGCATCTTTCTTCTTCTTCTTTTACAACTCGGACCTTCTCTATTATTCCGCAGGTAAACTCAATTGGCAACTGGTACAAGCCCTGGTTCTTTGTGCACGTCAGAAACATGCTCGGACGTGAATCCGCCATTGAATACATTCCTTTGAGGGATTACTACCATAGGCACACGAGATCGATCTTTTGGGAATTACAAGTATGCAATGTATCTGATTTCATTCATAGTTCTCTCTTTTTCTATTCCTAACCATCTAACTTATACATAGAGGGAATAACGTACACCTAAATCTTACAAACACACAAACTGGATTTGCTAACTACTCAAACAATTTATACGCCTCACATACTTTTACCTATAGAAACATAATGGTCTCAATTTTTATTCAAATCTTAGGTATATTTGCACGTGCAATAACATTTCCAAAGCAAACAACAGTATTTAATCCTATAAGATCATATCTCCTCTTATTGCCCAAATACTTATTTTTCTTTCTCCATTTATAGCAAAATTTAAGACACAAAAATAGAAATAAATGTAATAAAATTTAAATAGTGAACAATCTATAAGTTTACATAAGAATCCATTTTATTATAATGCGGAAGAGTAATGGATAAAACCGGATTTTGGTCTTAAACTGAACATGCATGGACTACTTGAAGTTAATGAAAAAAGTCTCATAAAAAGAAACTAGAAAGGATTTGTATATAATAGGAGCGGTTTCCTGTATCAAAATCATAACGAAATTTTAATTATTATGTTAATGCCGAATGTGACAAGCAATGATTTCATGAACTCGGAACAGTTGAAACGTGTTCAATGTAGATTTTTTTCGATCGCTTCGTCACGGAAATATCCATTACGAATTGCAAGCATTTTTAGTATAAAAGATCGGAAGTCTAGAGCTCTTGTTGAATCCCTTTAAGGATCCCATCCGGGATCAATGTTATTACGCAAGTGCATTGGGCACAATGCAGGTATTCATCCTTATAAATTGTCCACCATGCAATTTTCTGCAGTGCTTTCATTTTGCCACTTTTTATAGCAGGTTTTAATTTGTTGTCCACAATATTCGTATAATACAATTTATAATCGAATGATGATGCAGTACCTTCATATAATTATAACACATTGTATGTTGTAATATATAGACGAGTTATTTATATATTTTTATGTTTTTGCAAATTTTTCAAGTGAAATCCCACAGATAAAAGTGGACAAAGTTTGCAAATAATTTATTTGTTTTTAATTTCTTCTTTTTTTTTATTTGAATATTTTGTTCATGAAATATTTAAATTAAGTAATATAATAAGTTTAATTTTGGAAGAAATGGTATGAGAAGGAATACCGATAAGAAAAGGTCGAGGTTACATCATTAAATCAAGTGCCAATTTAATTAGCTTTCCTTTGATTCGGAATCCGATGAAGAATGTTAAAGTATGTCCGAAAGCATCGGACTCTCGATTCTGGGAGCCCCGGGCAGTGAATTTGTTATGAATGAAGATAATGGTCGGACCTGACCATTAATTACTTTTAGGTTATTACAACTCCCTGCTGCACGGTGGAATCGATTCACAGAAAACATAATCACTAATTAGAATCGAGTGCCGATGTTTACAGTCCTACTCTTCTTATTCCTTTTTTTGTAATTAAACTATTCTCATCTCTTTGCTTCTTGTCTTCTGTTTTTGTTCCGACGAGTGTTAGGACATCATTCCATTTGGTAATAACCCGGTGTTTCGGTATTTGTTGGGTTGGATCGTACCGCCGAAGATTTCTCTACTGAAGTTAACTCAAACAGAAGCAGTGAAGAGGCTCTACGAAAACTGCCACGTGATCCAGGATATGCTTGTACCTATGAAATCGATGGAGGAATGCATCCGCGCCATACACGACAACCTGAAAGTAAACTACAAATACCATCTTAATGACAACCTCTAAAAACTGTCTATACCATAGGTATATCCTCTATGGTTGTGCCCGTTCGTGTTGCCACCGGGTTCCGGCATGGTAAAGCCCCGTTCCGAAGGTGCTGAAATGTACGTGGACATCGGAATTTACGGAACGCCGACCGCCCAGGACTTCCAGCCCATGGAGAGCACGAGAACAATCGAAAATTTGGTGATGGAATCGAACGGGTAACATGTTTCTTCTTCGCTCAACAGCGGTCCTCCTCTTTCTCCTCACCATTACTTTTTTTCCTATCCTCCGCATTCCCGGGCCGCACCTGTCCACCTACTCTCTTAATTCCTCACCATGAATATCTGGTTCTTGTTCTGCCTGCAGTTTTCAGATGCTGTATGCGGATACCTACACCACGCGCCAGGAATTCAGAAGAATGTTTGACCATTCGCTGTACGACAAACTACGCGTCGATCTGCAATGCGTGGACGCCTTCCCCGAAGTCTACGACAAAGTCTCCAAACAGTCACGTGTTTAGCCTCATGCCAACTCACGTGACACAACCGTACCATACAAAGCTGAAATCTATTTATATACATAGATGAACGTGATTCAAAACAACAGTTTCTATAGTATAATAATATATGTAATTACCCACATTTACCGACGTAATCGCTGCGGTTTACATAACAACGCATTCTTCGCTTCAACCACGAGGATTCAGAAAAATGATTAACAAACTGTATCATCGCTACGAGGTGTTTGTTGAATTCATTCTTATTGAGTCATCAGCTATATCCGTTTTTAAATCACAATGGTTGTTTTTTTTTTGCAAAATTGTATAATTGTTGTCATGTACTACAGTTAATTAAATGTTTTCAATTGTATAAATTAGTAAAATAACGCTTCTATTAATTACTAGACAATAAAAATTATGAAAACAAATCAAAGTAAGTATGTACATAAATCATTAAATTTACTTTCAATGCAAATTAATTACATCATAATTATCAACATTTTGTGATAATACAATTAGTACATTACATAATTACATAATAAAATTACATAACAACAAATCTAATAAGAACTGAATGTATTTGAAGCATTAACTAAGAAAGTAATGTTTATGGTAATTAGTGAATTAAACATCAGGTACCAATTAAAATTATACAAGCATATATAATTATCAAGAAACTATATATTTCAGTTTATTTTAAACTTCTTTCAATTTCAATAAATTAATTTCAATATTGATAATTAATATTGAAAAGAGACAAAATAACATCCGGTTTTTTCATAAAATATATGTCTTTTTTCCATTTTTTTTTCGGAAAAGTTTTCTACTCAATAATCAAATAATAATAAGGTCAATAGATTTTTATCAATTAATATTTTTAAATTAAAATTCTCGGAAAATAATGAATCTTTGTAATGTTTAATATAAATGAATAAAGTGTCAAACTTATTTTTTTTCTTGGAATGTTGGTGTATTTCTGCAACAGAATCGGAATACTTCAAATTGACTCGAATAATAGGAATGTTTCCATATCATTTATATGTGGAAAAAAAAAGTACTACCAAAAATATTGAATTTATTTATTGTTTTTTTATTTCTTAAAGATTTCGAAGTTTTATACATTAGAACATACACAAATAATAATAATTTATAGAAAAAAATAACTATTTTTTTTTGCTTAATAATATATAGAAAATAGAAGTTGTTTTCTATATATTAATAGAAAACAATGCAAATTATTTCTCACATCTGCATTAAAATAGTTGAAACAAAGCATTCATTTTTTTTATTTCAGAAAAACCTATTAGACTATAAATAACCATGACAAACGGAATCTGCAAAGCAAACAATTAATGTAATTAAAAGATATAATATATTAACTTAATTAAACATGAGAAATTATTTATACAGTTTTATAAAGGTGCGTTTAAATCAATCGAGTTAATTAGAAATATAGGGCAGAAAAGATCTATACCGTTTGTAATTCAGTAGAATTCCAATAAGTATTATGGTTATTAGAAATATACATAAAAATATACAAGTATTTCCACTTGAATGTCTGATGGTAATGGAACAACCAAAAATATTATCAACCAAATCTGGAGTACAATTAAAATCCTATAGAGTTTTACAACTTGTGGTTGTATGAATGCAACGAAAGCTCCCTATTTTGTCTACCTAAATTCAAGTTCTAAGTACTGTCATTGTACAATCATTAAACGTCCGACATTCTGTACCTGAAAAACATAGATAAAACGTTGAAAATTGTGCATTTGGCTATACTAATTCATTCTCAGAACTACATTTTTAATGTACAAAGTATTTTCTTATATATTATATATTTTTGTTCTTATATTTTAAAAAAATCATATTGCAATAACATAAAATATATAAAAATGTGAAAATTTTAATAATACTTCAATAAATCTGATATATTTGAAAAATAATTAAACTTTTTGTAATTAATTTAATTAAGTTATTAATAAGTAGTTATTTTGTGATTATGAATTCAATTTGTATAAAATAAATTTAGTTCAAAATAATTGCTTAAATTATTCTTGAAATATGGACAAAATATTTTTTTCATATAAGAATTATCTAAAAAGAGTTAACATTTATGTAATTACTTGTTTTATGAACGGTTATTGTTGTTATTCTATGATATATTTCAATATTACTTGTTAAAATGAAAGTTATTTGCAAATATTAGGAACTTCCGGTCTTATTTACCTAAATGTGGATTCTAAGTAAGGTCGTTGTGGTGTCATTATAAGTCTAAGATTAGAGGACTCGGATCCGTTGATAAAACGCTGAAGACGGTGCATATTGTTCTAGAAATTTGTTCCCAGAACTATGTGATAAGCGATTTTGGTTTGTTACCTTTTCTCATGAATGCTAAGGGGAGGCGCATGCCATTCACGCTGAGTCGAGAGACCTAGTCCGTAGCCGAAGCAGCTCATTCAAGTCTACTTAGTCGTAGAGTGCGGATGTGTACGGTAGTACCTGGACAGCGACAGTGCGATCACGACGTGAAGGGATTCAATGTTTATCTGAACTCATTCGGAAAATCAGAACAAGTTCCGAAACCTACCCTTAAGACAACAAGATTAAAGAGATGCCGTCCGCGCTCCTGTTGACACTCTGCGCGCTTTTCGGTAAGTACACTTAAACCTAAGTTTGAATGTGATAGTATCACAATCGGACTTAAGTTAAGCGCAAAATATTTAAAAGGTTGCGGATGGAGTAGTCAGGTTGTTATTTGATGGATTTAAGTGGTAGTACCAAAAATAATAAAAAAAAATAATAAAATAAAAGTTTAGTAATTATGAGTTAAAGCAGAGGAAGAAGTTTCGAAATGAAACTGCTAAAGTCTTTTTCAGACTTTAATGAAATTGCTCGCATCACGCAGGCAGAGAGCGAGTTGTTGACTATATGAGAGAATATTAACCGGCAGGTGTTTGCGCCTGTTCGGGTCCGGTTTACACGATACACGTTTGTGTATCAATTTTTATGAAATTAAATTATATGTTTTGGTATTGGTAGCCGTAAAGACGTTACGGTCGAATTGCACCGCAGCAGATTAACTCCCAAATTACCGACCCCTCGATATAATAACATCGACACACGAAAGCAGCAACTGCAAAGAAAAAAAGAACAATATGAAAGAGCAGAGAAGAAAATTAAAGAGATGGAGCGGCTGAGAAGAAACAGATGACCCTAATGGGGTGAAGATCGAAGGGAGGTGAGTTACCTGCTCTCTGTGGTAGCAGCCCCGGAAGTCCAATCAGCGGACTTCGATCCGAAAACATGAACTATGTAGTTTGATACATTAGAGAGAAATCGGAAATCCGAAGCCCCGACGGGTCCCGTTTCCCAGGTGAATCACCAGCGATGTGATTCACTAATTAATTTCACATCGTAATTATTATTTATAAATAGAAGCATTAACGGTTCGCATTTAAATGATAATTTTCATATTCCTTCATTCATTTTTTCCCACCGCTTCACACCGGGTTCAGGATGCATTGTGTTTTGCATCAAATGGTATGCGGATATTAGCTTATTTCACACTAAATCATACCACCTCTGCTGCTTCCGAAGGATCTCTTTATCTCTCTTTAAAATACACTGCATCCTCGTCTCGTTTTCATCGTGTATTTTTATACGTTATTTATTTATGTATCCTTTCGGCCTTTGTCTCGTCGATGGCATTCCTGGCCGTTCGAAATGCGATTCGTCTTGGACCTTCCCAATTCCATCCGATTTTTCAACCGCATCGAATCAGATATTTCCAACAAAACAGCATCCATCATGTATCAAACTCTTAAACTTTCACCTGAATTCTTTCAATACAATTTCATATCAAAAATTTACTTACTTTAAATGTATAACCTGGTTAGTTGTTTCAATATGAATCTAACGCACATATCAAAGCATAAGTAGAATCCAAAGATTCTTATTTATATAAGTAAATTGAACTAATTGAAAAACAGGTTGAAAAAACATGATATAATATTTGTAATCATATTGTCAACGAATAGAAAAGCACAATCTAAATAGACTTTTACTTTTCTAAATATTCTTTTAATTTTTCTCATATTAACGTCAACCTCAGGTTAATACTGTCATAAAAACAACAGTTTGTTTCTTAGAATAAAGTATATTTAATATTTATTATAAATAATTTATAATTTACAATGAACTTAAGTATTGAAGCATTTACAAGTTCTTAATTTTAACATTTATGCGTTTTCAAACGAAAAAAAATCTTACATAATCTTAATATTTAAAATGAAAATGATGACTAGATTTTCATTTTAAATAATAAACATTTAATAATAGACCAAAAGGAAATAATAAAAAGGTTTTTTTTCTCATTAAATAATGTTAAGTAATATCACTTCAACCACACCTTTCATTTTTGCTTAGATGGTATTTCCTCTTTCCGTTGCAGCAATGCTCTTTCGTAAATTTCACTTTAATGTTCAACAATGGTAAACTTCATCTAAGTAACATATTGTTAATTTTCAAAATGAAATACACGTAATTTATAAATTTTATTTAAATTGGTTGTAGGATTTGAAAACTTTATAATAAACTTTTGATATACTTATTTTAAACCTATCGTATTATTTAGCGTTGATGAAAAATGAAATTGCTGAATCATAAATCAAAACAATTTACTGTGCTTGCAGAAATCTAAATTATAAACAAAACAAATCCTGTATGAGCAATCAATATCGTCTTTATTCCTTAATGTATAATTACTGAATTCCATGAATCACTAACTAAAATATACTTAGGACAAATAACTCGTATTTCGTAACAGACATAAATTTAGCATGGTATGCGAGTTATGATTCGGCAATGGACAAAAGATTACGCAGATAAATATTTGTCTTTACCTTGTTTTTATTTTAATTATTTCTCTACTGTATTATTATGTGAAAAAAAAATTAGAAAATAAAGTAAAGACCTCTAAAGCGAATCCATCAGAAACAATTGTTCGTTGTCTTCACACCTCTAACGATCCTTACTTTGTTTTGTCTTTTTTTGCCTTCCTCGCAGTATATGTGCGTGTCTCTCGCCTTTTTATTCTTCTTTTCTTGTTCAAGGATAATTTACGCGATTCATTCTCGATGTGTATCGCGGATGAATCATCGACATTGCTTTTCGCGGATGAAGCAATTTCTCTTGAGAATTGTGACCGAAACAGTATTATCATTGAATAGTAATAATTGTTTCTACTATAAACTAAATGACTTTCGACTCATTGTTTTGTTTAACCTATTTGATTTATTCTATTATATAATCACATTACATTTTATAAAATAAAAGTTCATCTCAATCCAGATGCGCGCGCATTGTTTTAAAAACTTTTAGTACTTAGGGTATTTAGTACCTTTAGAATAAATTCAAATTATTTTTTTATTTATTATATTATATAATCACACTACTATTTTGATAAGCTTGAAAATGAAAGATTGTGGTTCATAAATATGCCCCAACTTTGTAATTAACATATGAGACAAAAATACATTTAAAACTGAATTCTTAAAAGGACGTGATGTTAAGTAAATTTCAAAATTTACATTGTAATTCGTTTGAAGGATTCTCCGGGAAAGTTTTAAAAGATTAGCATATGTGTATTCCATGGCACAAAAAGCAACAAAGAAGAACAAAACAAAAATATATAACGAAGAGAACCGTGAATGAAACGCAAAACGCATTGTTTTGAAACGGTGATTTTTGCTTAATCTCTATCTCCTTGCCTTATTAGAATATAAATTTTGATGTTCATGTTGGCATTCTGATGATCACTGTGATAATGGACACAGAACAATGATCAAAAACGAGAGCGCGCTCGCGGGTCTTTGACTTTTCTTCGCGCAATCATCCGACCATGAAGTTCTCCTCTCGCACCGTAAATATATGTATATTATAATGCGTTCTAATAGAAGGAATCTCGTCTTATTTTAATATCCGGCGGCTGACAATAAATGTTTCCACATATCATTCTCTCGTCTCCACTTTTATTTTTGTCCCAAACCCAAAAAATACGAACTACTTGTTTTATTTTTTTGGAGCTCCTTAATTAAGAATATCAGAAAAGCTCCGAGTTTCAAGTTTTATTGCTTCCACTCGATCCTGATTTTTATTTATATTTTTTTGGAATGCATTTCATCATTATGTTCTTTTTGCATTTAGCTGTCGTTCGTCATCCTTTCAGTATCTTTTCCTTTTTCTGCCTGTATTCGCAATGTTTTTTTGCGCTACCATTGAGAACGAACGCAAATGAAATGAGTTTCCCGGCATACTTTTATCCAAATGAAAATCCGTTTCATTCTATTGTGTATACTCTCAAACAGAAAACTCTCGGCTTTTCCATCAGACTATTGTAGCCAGTTTTTCACTTTTTTTTTCGTTTTTTGTTGAAAACCATCCAGTCTTTTGTAACATACTTCGTTTGTGCTCTCGTTTTTAAATATCACTTTTATTTGCATTGTTTCATTNTTGCATTGTTTCATTACGATAATTATAAAAGTATACAATTCCATTTACAAACTAAATAATTATTTTATTTTAAAAAAATTATTGTAAACTATTTATTATTTAAATTTATCGTTTGAGAATGGCGACAACTTGTAGACAACCTGAAAATATGTTCCAACTTAAACTTATACTTCAATATAGATTGTAGAAATGTTAACATTATATTGTTCGAAATAAGAATTTTAACAATTATATTCTATTATGGTTGTAATACGAAAATTAACTTTTTTATTTTTCGAAAATTTCCAAGAATAAATAATAGTAAAATAAAGTTATTATTTTTTAAATACGAATAGCTTTAACAGAATTTGAAACTAGGTTAGTAATAATAATATTAATGATTTGTATTGAAAAGCACTAAACCATAACAAAACTATACAAAATATCATCATTTTACATATGTTTCTTCTATAATTTACAAACCGTGTATAAAATTCAACATTTTTTAAATTAAAATTAGTATTAATATTCCATATTTAGAATATTGTTTATATAATTAAATATAACTGGATATATATATATTGCAAAAGGTTGTTGACCTTAAATATTTCATTCTAAATCTGCTCTATTTTAAAATTTGATGTCATTTTCTATGTTAAAAGTGTGGAATAAATGTTTAAGTATACAGAGTTTTATAGTTTTTTTTTTATATAGCCAGGATTGATAATTAGTAAATTAAAAAAATTGAATAATGTATTGTAATAAAAACTCCATACATAAAATATGAGAGAAAACCTTGTTTTTATTAAAATTTGATGTCATTTTGCATTAGAGTTTGGAATAAATGTTTAAGTCTGCAAAGTTTTATAGTTTTTTTTTATATAGAGAGGATTTCCAATTAGTAATTTAAAAAAAATGAATAATGTATTGTAATAAAAAGTCCATACATGAAATATGAGAGAAAACAACATAAACATTGAGCAAAATTGTTCATAGAAGGGCACTGACCGTAGGAATAAAAAGTCTTAAGCACCCGTAGTTTGCTTTCTGAACATTTACGTAAAGATACCGGACGGGACTCATCAACGATCTGATTCTGTTAACTCACCAAAATTAAGCAACGCTGACAGGAATGATACTTGGACCTAGTTAATGCAGACTGTGCAGAATTGCACTTAAGATGAACCGCAGACGATTTGCTAGAGCAACGAGTCTAGACACCAGGCACAAAAAATGACAGGAACACGTGGCCAGGATAACCAGTTAGAAGGGAAGCAAATGCATACCGGTGCTTTTTACACATTTCATACATAATTTGCGAATCAAACGTCGCCTATCGTGTGCTGGAAATGTCTACCTACCTCCTGATTCACTTAATAGCACGGATACAAAAAAAAAATGTACATAGTATATGTAGATGCTATCGTCGGACTTCTCCTAAAACACGGTTCTCATTAGCTGTAAGAAACAGCGCTTTTATCTGTGTTTCCCTGTGAATTTACGTGAGAACCAACAAACTGAAAACTGCCTTGTTTGCCAGGAATAAATATCTTAATATCTGGACAAATATGGACTTTGAGCAAACGCATGTTCCATTCATTGTTCCTCGCGGTCACGAGGACCTCTCTTCTTCATCCTTGTCTTCAGGCGGTCGCGTGGTCTTGAATTATCCGATACCTTTCGAAGAAGCACAAAACCGCGCTCCGGATTTAATTATGCTCTCTCTACATCTCTTCGTTCGTTTTTGTCGGATTTGAGAACTTAATTGTTTCCTCTCTAGATTAATCCTGCATAGGTAGTACGTGATCGTCGTCGTTTCGTGTACGGCGGAGACTTCAATTAAGTCGAATTAAACGGTTTCCCCCCGTGTCTCGCCATTAATTGATTTTCTGTAGTCGCAACAATCTTTATGGCAATGCCCGTAACACTTGGATTCCACTCGGTGGGAGGTCCACAGATCCAGACTTTGCTTATTATTCGCATTCATCAAAAAATATGAAGTACATTGCACGTAACGCTGGACGAGGAAGAATAGACAGAGAAAAACGCATAATTTCCGTTAGACCCACATAAAATTGCCTCGCTCCAATAATTATTTTAATTCGTATTGAAATGAACATCCATCTCCGTGCACTTGCTTCTTCTGTTTCTACCTGTACGTATCTTCCTCTTCTACCATTTACTTTTCTTTCTTTTTCCTTCGCTAATTAAACGTTGGCGATGGATTAGCGGAGGTACGGAGCGGTAATTATATTTATTACTTTATTAGCTTCCTCTGGTACCGGTTTCCGTTAGTAAACGCTCAAACAAATAACGAAACGCTCCAATTAAACGACCGAAGAAGAGGTGCATCCAGGAGGAAAGTAAAAATAGAAATCGCGATTTGTATTCTGCTCTGCCTGTTGCGCAACGCCCACTGAGAATTCCTACAATATTTGCAGAAACGTTCATAACTTTCTTATTTTGTTTATTTTCCGCTGGTCTTTACTATTCCTTAGGTGTCAAGGACCCAACCTTAATGCAGGTTTGATGTATACAAATCGATTCCATCGTCCTTACCACTGTTGAACTTAATACATGCAGACAGGAAACCAACATTTCAAATCCCTATTATTATTTACTTAGCAAATAAAAAAACATCTAGCGTCTACTTTATAAAACATAATAAAACATATGTTAAAGCGGAAAGTCAATAACACTTTACATATGTATTTTTTTTAAATATAAACTTTACAAATAGAAGAATAAATAAAATCATATGAGTATTATGTAAAACATTAATTATCATTATTGAGATTTTATATACCGTAATGTATAATTTACTAGGAAGCTAATCGTGTAATTTAATTGAAGGAAACTTATGAAGTAATCCAAGAACTTAATTGAGGATACACTTTATTATTATTTATATTCAACCGCAATTTGAGATGTTGAACCCGAAGCTTCTATTAAATGTATAAAACTTGATTACAACAAGATTTCTGTGTTTGAGAAACGATATTACTTCTTAAATTTAGGAAATATTTATAATAATAATAGTAAAGTAATATTCAAAATATATTCGTAAGACAATTATTACTCAAATTTAAGGTTTATATATAGTCGATTCTGTTTAATTAGGACATAATCGGAGTAAGCGACAAATAAGAAATGGATATAGAACTTCGAATAATTGGACAAATATACTAGTCCCGATGTGGTATTGGTAATTTGTTGGAAACAAGTAAAAACAAGTAAAACATTCTTTAGTAGTGCAATTCCTGCATGTAGAAGAGTTTTATTGGTTCTTGAAGAATGATGTGCATTAATGACATCGAAGTGAAACAACGTTGATGGAACTGTAATAATAGTATAGAGCAGCATGGATGGATGAACGCTCAAAATTTGTGTGGTTTGCGGTTGGGGTAGAATGAGACCGAATAAAAAGCAGAACATGTTAAAATAATAGCTGTTAACTACAATTTTTGTTGATTTTGGTTTGATTCAGGTAGCAAAGACTTTATTGGAAAGATAGAAATTAAATGAATTAAAATACTATAAAATCTTTAATTTCTCAATTAAAAATTATTAATTAAATATTATATTTTTTCCACAATTATATTTTAAATTGCTTAGAGTTTTTGTTATTAAAATTTAAACTATAAATAATAAAAAGCAAACAATATATAACAAACTTAATGATTATTAATTATTAAATGTGCTTTACAATACGCACTAGGTTAAAGTGAGTGCAAATTGTGCGTATTATACTCGAGAATTTATGGTATGTCATTGGCATCGAATGTGTTCATTAGAGTGTTATTTTGTATTTGTTCGCAGTAGCGAGAGCAGCGGGGACATGTTATTTTCCGATGGAATACCAGGGAGAATTCTCGATGCAGAGCTCGGTGAACAGCAGGAATTCGGTTCAATACAGCACGATAAATATCACGGCGACCGCAATACCAATTTGGGGTAATTGCCACAGGAAGATCGGCAACAATTTCATTTTGGTCGACCAGTAAGTGTCAATTTGTCGCATCCGTCCATCTATATTTACCGGCAACAATTTCCTGTTCCCACCAGGTACATGGAGATTAGCGAGACGAACTGCTTTCGTTGTCTTCATCTCAAGCCGCGTTCGAAGAACGTACTGCAAGTATCGGCCTTCAGCAACGAGACGATATCCAAGTGCTTCATTAACGAGGCCTCCGCCGAAGAAAACTGTCCAACCGACCAGCAGCTCAGATCCAATTCCATCACGGAAATCATATTGTTTAGTAAGTCACTCGACTAAATTCTGGTTTCCAATGGCTTTAATAAACAATTTTCCTTGCAGAAACCAAAGATGCTGAGGGTAAGATTGTCGGAAAAGAATATTGCCCGATTGATGGAAGATACTCGTTCACTTATCAATTGAACGACAACGGTAACATTAAGCACTGCAAAAGTCGCGATTCTATTATAGACTTTTGTCCATCTGGAGCTACTCTTAACATGAGATTCCGCGATTGTCCCATCCAGAGATACGGTATGTGTTTTAAACTATTAACAATTAAAAAAAACTTTTGTCAATATTTGAAACAATTTGTTTAGTCTATTTTTCATCGATTTTATATACATACATAAATATGTTTTTCTAAGTAGTTTTTTGTGACCTCTTGAGTTGTTTGTTAAATATATATATACTATATTGAACAGTAAATTATATTGATTTGTAGATTTAAACTTGGACTGCCTTGGACATTGGGAAGGCAGCAGGGGCCAAAGGTACTTAATCCTCTCGGATAACAGATACTCGAAGCCGCAGTATCGATGCGCCGTAAGTAGTTTCCAACATCTAATTAGACCCGTTCATAATTATGGTTTCCTCTTAAGTTGTATAAGCGTGATTCGGCCAGCGGGGTCATAAACATCGCCATCAGCAGGGATTCCACGTGCACCACTGATTTGCATAACGCGACCCACGGTTACGAGGCCCTCGTGTTGCAGCCGAAAAGCGACAATAATTGGCCGCCCGAAGTCGCGGTCAACACTTGCAGGTATTTACCACTAGAAGAAATCAACGGCATGCTCTTTAACGTGACTTGTAATCGCAGGTTTCCGGAATGGATGGTCGGCGATTGGGAGAACGTGCGCGTCGAGGATAACACCATTACGTACAAGGACCATACGTCCTTCACGACCTACACCATGAAATGCTTGTCGACGATGGACTCGCTGGACAAGTTCCATGTCTTGGCAAAAACCCAATGGTAGGATCGAAAATCTAAAACCGAAATCAAAATTAATTAAACTCGGTATTATATATTTTCCAGCGACGAAAGCCTTTTCAACTGTATGAAAATTCACAAACGAAGCAACAACATCTTAGAGCTGCAACTGGGATCGAATTACAGCACCAAGAACGACGCGCTCTCAAGTTGCGATGAGTCCAACTTCCAGGACGACGCTTGGGTCACGCAAGGCCGTAAGTTCATAGAATAACCATATAATTTCCTGTTCCTACAATTAAACTTTTCATTTCTCATAGGTATTAGTAATAATGTGGAAACTGCTTGTCCGATTTCTGGGAAGTACACGGGTACTATTCCTGACAACGACGATCTGTGTGCGAAATTGTGGTCAGACTGCGATGCACGTGAACTGATGTACTATCAGGTATCGAATTGCACCACGTCTGAGGTTTACGAGGAGCGGGAATACAGGTGTCTAGGTCACTGGGATGAGAATAATCTGTTGTACACTTACACTCAGCGACACGATGTCGCCGATGGAACCTACGAATGTTTCGTCGGCTCTATTATATCAGATAAGGATATATTCATTAAGGAGGCTGGCGAGCACTGCCAGAGGAAGATCGATCCTATGAGGTACGGGATGAACCTGTTCAACGAAGGCACTCAAGGTTTGTACTCATGCATTGGTAAAGGCTTCACGACGCAGAGGCCAATGCCGACAAAACCATGGAACATCAACGTCTCATGTAAATACCAACACCGATCTAAGCAAAACGATTTTTCTATTTACATGTATGTTTGCAGTTCCAACTATCCAGGATACAGACAACAGCATCAGTATAGCTCATCGACTGCCGCACTCACTTGCCTTCCTACTATTGCCAATTGTGATCGTTTTATTTTAAATTGTTTATTACTGATTAGAGAATTGAATGTACTTAGTAGGTGTTACTCTTCAATGATTGTAACCTACACGGTGCTCTCGTTAAACTAAATTTAATCCAAGTATAAGAAGCACCATGTATAATACATGTACATAGTATTCGTTGCCTAAAACGAAAACACGATTGCCTTCCATGCCAAAAGGTCAACCCTTACTTTGAGCTCATTATTTAAATTAGATTATTGTTATATTATATTTTACATTCACACCTACTTCTGCAAAACAAAATAATGAAATAAGTGTATAAAGATATATAAGTTTCCTATTAGATTTTGGCTCATTTTTATAGATTTCAATATGTGATATTTATTAGACTAATCTATTTATTTTATTAAAAATATATATATATATCCTATGCTTTTTTTAGATACTAGGTTTAGCACATGTTTTTTATATAACATTAATAAAGCTGTTATCGAATTAATCTTTTTATTAAACTTTTAAAATACAACCCTCATATACCCATGTGGTAATAGCCGGTTTCCACGAAATCAACTCTTTCTGCGTAAACCAAAGATACATTTCTTTGTTAGCTTCTTCTACTCCATCGGCGCCATGTATGAGATTGGGACCTGTTTGGATGGAGAAATCTCCTCGTATGGTACCAGGGATACAGTCCTCTGGATTAGTAATGCCAATTATAATTCTTGCATTTTTCACTACGTTAGGTCCTTCCCAGACCATCGGTACAACCGGGCCACTACTCATATACTTAAGTAGGCCTGGAAAAAACGGTTCATTGGAAAGATACGAATAATGATTCTTTACCAATTCTTTGGAAGCCTAGCATGAAAAAAAATATAAAGAAGACTTACAAGGGTTGAAACACAATCACCATATAGCTACTCACCAACATGAATTTCATACCAATAAGTTTGAAGCCTTTCTGTTCAAATTTCTTGATAATTTGTCCAACTAGCCCACGTTGTACAGCGTCCGGTTTTATCAGAAGGAATGTTCTTTCTTCATGATCACATATTTTTCTTAGGAATAACGAGAACAGGGAAAGCAACGTGCAAATCATTTTATCAAATTCTGAAAAATGTTTTTTTGTCCGTTCTGGATTAATGATTTCCACAGTAGCGCTCCTCCCAACTAATGTGAGAACTACCTCACAAAACAATAATAGTTATTTTAATGAAGAAGTTAAAATAATTATCAAAAGCTTTACAATATTAAGTACGATATTACTTTAATTATAATTAACACAGCTTATAGATTAAATGTAATTTTAAACACGCACTATATTTCAGTGAGAAATCAATAGGTGGCAGTCTATGCAATACAATATTATACGTTTACCTATTATACAACGATCAGAGACATCTTTCGTGACATTTGCTATATTAAGAAAGTGATTGAATCATTGTTGTGGTTAAATTTTATCAATTCCTTTTATCATTTAAATGAAATGAACTGTTGTGTCATTGTCTGATTAAATCCAATTGCAACTGCAAACATCCTTTTACCACTTGAATTAAAATGCTCAACAATATGGATCTTACAGAGGAGGTAAGACTATTTTAAGGTTATAAAACTTTATATCATTTAAAAACTTTCTCTAACAATTTCAGCAAGTGCAGGAATTCCTTGCCAAACAAGATTTCCCACCTATGAAGAACACCCGTATTCTTCAGGCTGCAAGAGGTGAAATCCCTGATAAGTTGCCTATTTGGATTATGAGACAAGCTGGAAGGTATCTTCCAGGTAATTACTCAAGTGTAATAAAACATTGCTATAAGAGATGGATAATACTGTGTTTATTTAATAGAGTTTCAAGCTCTTCGCAAAGAGCATTCATTCTTTAAAATCTGCCAAACACCAAAATTGGCATGTGAGGCAACTCTTTTGCCAATCAGAAGGTATGATTTGGATGCTGCTATCATTTTCAGTGACATTCTTGTTATACCACAGGCACTGGGCATGGAAGTGCTTATGGTTCCAGAAAAGGTTAGCTAAACAATTATGATGGAAATATGTTTATTAGAAGATGATTGTTTTCAGGGACCAGTATTTACCAGTCCATTGACCTTAGAAACCTACAACACTCTAACTTGGGAGAACGCTGTTAACAGGCTTTCTTATGTAGGAGATGCAATTAGATTGACCAGGCATCAACTTGAAGGACGCGTTCCGTTGCTAGGTTTTTCAGCAGCTCCAGTAACTATTTCTTGTATTGAAAACTATTACTATTTCATAACTGTTTGTTTTAGTGGACCTTAATGGTTTATATGATTGAAGGAGGTTCTCCAAAAGCCGCGATGCATGCAAGAAAATGGTTATACGCCGAGGAAGCCACTACCATAGATTTTCTTCAGAAGCTAGCCGACGTCATTGTAGACTACTTAGTGATGCAAGTGAAATCCGGTGCTCAGATGTTGCAGCTATTTGAAAGCTGTGCTGAGTTCTTGAATGTGGAGATGTATGAAAAACTGATGGCTCCAATGCTGAAGAAAATCAGAGAGGGAGTTCGTGATAAACTTCTGCAGGAGAACGTCGAGCCTGTGCCGATGGTTTTCTTTGGAAAGGGCGGATCGCATTTAGTCGACATTCCAATTAAAGCGGGCTTCGATGTTATCAGCATCGATTGGATTACCGATCCAAGATCAATCCGCAGCAGACACTCAAATGTCACCTTACAAGGTAACCTAGATCCTTGTGCGATGTACTGCAAGAAAGAAGAACTCGTCGTACACATCAAGAAAATGTATGAGAAGTTCGGGTTCAAAAACTACATCGTCAACCTAGGTCATGGCATCCATTTAGACACACCCACGGAATCTGTAGCGACTTTCGTTGAAACTGTTCACTCATTCATGTAAACACTATTAATTAATACTATTATATATTTATAGTATACGTTTTTATATATAAACTACAAGATGTTATTTAAATATCTTCATTTATTTACGTTTCAAGTAATGATGTTTAAACTGTTCTAATTTTGCCTTAGTTATGATTACTTTAACTAATTGCTGCTGGGAATCCTCTTCATCAACATCGAGCGAAACCACGGCTGCATTTTTATATAACCATCTAAAACAAGAGAAATAATTATTCTCTAATAATTATTGTCGTATAAAAGTAATACCTTATTTCATCACCACCAATAGGAATTCTAATTCTCATTATTCTGCGATTGGTATTTTCTAGTATGGCCTTTTCCAAATGTAATCGCAACAAGTCGATTCCTGATTCCGTTTTAGCGGACACTGGTAGTTCGACGTCATCCAAATCCTTGACGATATCACTCTTATTACCGACTGTAACGATTTTATTCATAAAGTCTTCATTATTGGTTTTCGATGATAACTGCTTAAGCGTAGCTAAGACATGATTCCTTTGAAAGGTAACGTCTTTACTCGATAAATCCTCTACGTGCAGAATGACATCCTGAAAATATGATACTGAATAATGTATACTTCGTTTGCTTTCTACAACCTTACTGCGTGTAAGGCATCTTCTAGTGTAGCCACGAAACATTCAATCAAGTCTGTTGGTATATTTGATATAAAGCCTACAGTGTCAACGTATAGGACTTCCAAGTTTGAAGGAAGAACACCGGCATGCATCGTGACATCGAGCGTAGCAAATAGTTGATTTTTTGGTTTCAAACTTTTATCACCGGTTAGGGCTTTGATCAAAGATGTCTTTCCCGCATTTGTATAACCAACCACTGCAATCACAGGATACTCAAGTTTATTCCTATTATGCCTCAAAAGCTCCCTATGAAACCTCAACTTTTGAATAGCAGTCCTCAATTTTTGTTCCCTTTTCCTAAGCATTATATGTTTAGTGTCAAAATCATTGGTTGACATGAATCGTGTATCATGTTTCTTAATTCTTCCTCTTAAATATGGAATTTCTGCTAAAGCAACCTGCAGCTTGGCATGTTTAGTATTGGCATGCATCCTCAGAATTTGCATCACTACTTTGTACCTATCTAAAATTGGAACCCTGAATGTTTTTTCTAACATTTCTAGCTGTACTGATTTCAGTGTACTAACATTTATAAAGACAGCAGTTATATCCTTGTTGTCCCTCACTGTCTGCTTCAATTTCTCCAAGTTTCCTGTACCAAACAGTTGGATTTTATCCAGATGATCTAGTGGGACTGAGACAGTGTCTTGGACTTTCCATTGACTCAGAGTATTTATCAAAGACACAGCTTCCTCCATCTGCTGTTGGGGACTGGTATCCTTCTGCTTCTTTTTACCCCATTTCACAAATGGATTTATGATGAAGCAATTATGCTCTTTAACTGACCCAAAGCAACTTTCAACCAGAGACTTGTAATCGCTAAGGAAACATTGTAATCATTTAACGGTCCGTTAAAAATATATGATCGTAGGATGTTATACTTATCGACTTCGTCAATGACACTAGCTGGATCAGTTTCCGGTATTTCGGTTTTGAACACTCTGGGGGTGGTCGAGAACACCCTCTTCGCCGCCCGCAAGGGCCTGAATAGTCTAAACATCGCAGATCGCGTGCTACTCTACAAGTTCAGCCCTGTTCTCGTTCCAAGTGTGATGTACATAACCTAACTCCGGCTGGGAGATCTTGACTACACGAAAACAAACGCTAAAAGGTTTCGTTTCATTGGAAAAAAATCAAATAAAATAACAACTACTAATTCCTCCGGCGTTGTATATTTTTTTCTATGCTACCCAAATAACATATTCATATTTTTCAAGTAAAGCGATGTTTATCTGCCTGCCTTTGCTTTGCCTTGCATGATTTTGATTTACAACGTCCACTGGTATTATCTCTTGTAACGGGAAGAGAGGAATTGATAAGACAACTTTATTATTATTATTCATTTTCTATTATCATTATAGTTCTGATAATGAGTTGTGTAAAGCGGAAACAGCCATTTTGTCCGATATATTTTAAAGTTGCGAAATTCATATGAATTAATGTTACTTCAAAGATGGGAATACTCGATGGTCATTGATTGCATTCCCATAAGCTCCCATTGTATGCAAATCAAAAGATTTGTCCATTTATCGCCAATTTAGGACATTTCTCGATTCATTGTTCCTTCTAATAGGCTCATTTTAATAAGCAAGATCTGCTTATATATAAATATTTTTGAATATGGATTACAATTATTATTTTAATAATATAATTACAGTTCATTTAAGACTAATAAAATATTTATAAAAATATCAGAATTTCGAAATTCTTTCAAATCATTTAGTTTGTGATATAATTGTTTAAACTTGAATATACACATATAAAAATAAGTGATTGATCTTAAACTTGATATATAGTCGAAAAATTATTTTATATTTTATAATAAACATTTAACAAAATATAAAAATAGAAGTTGAATAATCGCCACTAACAGAATGAACGGGAGGAAGTCGATATATAACAAAGATACGCTTGTTATGTAACATCATTTCATAGTTTTAAATGCTTTTCTATCTACTTTTTCCCTGAAAATATATTGTTAACAATGAGTTTTAATTTACAAAACGGCAAGAAAACTAATCTAGAACGCGTGTCTAAAATAACAAACAAAACATAAAGAAGCTTTAATTACTTAAATGTTATATATCATGAAAAACAAATAGAGGTCACGATAATCGTTTTCATAACAACCAATAAAGTTAACTAACTGTTCCATAATTATATAAAATAATGTGATTTTAAAGTTGTATTTGTTTGATTACGTAACTAAGTATTCCCCCGATGGTTAGATCATATTAAGGTCAGTTTCGAGTAGAGCAGCAGCGATAAATCAAAGATGCATGCCAAAGATGAAGGTCCATTTTCAACGGATTTCGGAGGAGTTTGATGTATACATACAAGATTGTATTCATCTATCAATCATTTTTCAAATTTGTCTAGTATCAATAACAAAAGCATATGAAACTACAATATTATTTGTATTTTTTTTTCCGCAAAATATTATGTTTTTACTTATGTAATAATAATAATAAAGACGATAGAAATTCGATAAAAAAAATAAACTTATGAGTTAAAGAATAACATAAACGATTAAAGTAAATTCACTCAACGTATTTAAAATAGACGATATTTTAAGTTCTGTGATTTGTTTGTTTAATACAGCAGTATAAATTCCAAGTAAACCAAATTATAAACTGGTATATACAAGCAGATGTAAACAAATACTAATTATATAACAATTATTTTCTATTGGTCAATTCGTTGATTATAAACCAAATTTTGGATATATTTAAAACCAGTACACGTATTGAAGAAATTATGTTTTTGCAATGAAATAATTTAACATCGTAATAATTATTTATTGGCAGAATGTTTTAATTATTCATAATATAATGAAAAATATATCCAAAACGGATTTAATTATCATAAAATTTGGATAATTAATGTAAACATAACAAAAGTAAACTTTGTTTTGTAATTATTTATTAATATTATTGACATAAATGTTCTGAAGAATATGCTTAGATTTTGTATTTTCTTGAATCATAATGGTACGTACACAGTACGACGTGAGAAGCGAAGTATAAGCGATGATCGAACGCAACCAATTAAAATATACACGAGATTTACAAGCGTGACTTCTCTTATCCGAGATAATGTGGACATAAACCGCAAAATGATTGTTAATTGAAACAAAATGAGATTAATATAATATATTACAATATTTGACTTCATATGTACATCTTAATTACGCGTAAATCTAGAAATCTTGAAAATATACAAATTAAGTATATATTTATAACTGACATAGTATTATACAAATATTGTTTATTTATGTTTTATAATTACTGTCGTTAAAAAACAATTACACATTTCCATTTCCTCGCAATATTGAATTGTTAATTAAAAATGGTCTTATTAATTATAATAATTACTGAAATATTCTAATGAATATTATTGTATACATAGTAGTTTTACTGGAGCTGTTAATGGATGGTGTTCTGAGAAGCGTACTATTCATCGCTATGAAAAGGGTACGGTGTCTACCTGTATGGTAGATTTTAAATAAAGTTATCCGGTTAGAATATGCCGTTGTGTAGGCGTTTGTATTGTCGCAAGCAAATTGAGCGGAATTGTTTCTCTTTATTTGTTTTTTTTTCAAACATGAATTGAGCATATTCAAATCCGGATGTTCTATCTGAATCAGGCCGCCTACGCCATGCAGAGGAAACTCGTAGAGGTTGATATGGGTATACGCGGTGATTACTCTGAATGAATTCCTTGGAAACATAATGTAATATATTTTCGGAGGACAGAAGTCTTATACATCTTATATTATCTGGCCGTTACATATTTTACTTTAATTCCTTAGGGGACAGTGAATAGGTCACGCCGTTGAGATAGTGCGGTGTCACTGATCTCGACATTATTTTGGTTTATTTTTGGAATTCCAGCGATGGTAATCATCACAAGTGTATACCAGATGCTCGACTTTCGAAGACATTCGGTTTGTTATTGTGGGCCAGATCGGAGGGTGGGGAAGAACGGACGAGAGCTGTTCGTGGAAAGGATCTTTAGCTAAAGAATCCTTAGGGCCAAAGACTGTACCCCGAGGGGGTGGACGCCGTGCCTGCGTTTTTCCGCCTGTCTGCCTCTCTGCGCCTTCCGCCGGCTACCAGCCATACCAATACCATACCAACCTACCAGCTGTGCTTTCAGTGTGCGTGAGAGCGAGTGTCGGACTTCGATAAGAGTGCCCTTATCTTCTGGTCTCGTGTTGCGTCAGAGAGCTTTCCGGGTCGTCCAGAAGAAATTGTGGCCGCCGGCCCAGTCCGTGTTGATATTCCATTGTCCGCCTGCACGGCAATATCGCGCTTCCAGTCGCAACTAAAATTGCTCGAACATAGCCACAGCGCGGCATACAGAAGCGACTTCTTGTAGCTGTTGCTGCGACGTCCATAACCGAAAGGCCGACCTCATCTGTGGACCGGTGCGAAAACGATGCTGGTGCTGGTGTTATTATATGTGTCGGTGTTGTAATTTAGAGACGCGTTTATTTCCAGTGCATCCGCACCTCTTGTGCGACAGGTAAAGGTCCCAGAGGTAAACAGCCTGTCTTGTTTGTCTCTCCCAACTCCCAACATCTATCACATATCCCCTGTTAATCTTAAAATAATATTTAAATATTAGAAGGAAACGCAGATTACAGTTTATCGCCGCTCCAAGAGAGTGACTTTATTTTAACATCCTTTGTCCCGACAGCCAAGTGAATAAACTGATAAATCTTCCGACAGAAGATTACATTAACATAAATAATATCCTAATCGTTACAACTGACCCATATACTCAATTTAAAAATATATTTTTGACTTCTTTCTAACTTTCATTTAATACCCTCTCCGCTTCACCACTAATTCGTCTCGTAATTGCCTTTTTTTGTATGTATTTTCAGTGAATCCTAGTCCTTTGAAATGCTCGCGAAGCTCCTTTTGGGCATCGCCGTGTGGACGATAGTCGCTCAATCCTGTAGCGGCCAATATCCAGGAGGACTGAAAAGGAATCCGACCAGAGGTAAACGCTCTTTATTTACCGCATCTATTCCGGATCGCGAAAATATTTACGTTCCGCCCGCCACTGGCATTGAGATATATTCCGTGCACACTTTGCCCATGCTGGTATCTCTATTATTTCTGTTTCGCAGCCACAGTTCTGAGGGGTGACCAAAGGCCACCCCCGGACTCCTACGAAGATGAAGTCGATTTTCCCGCAAGTAAAAATGTGTGTGCGTTAGTTTGAGTGTGTGTGATATCGCGTTGGTTTTCCTTGTATATTTTTATTATGATCATCATTAATTTTTTGATATTGTTAATATAACTCCCAAATTGCATATAGGATATTTCCCGAAGAATCACCCCTGCGAGAAGAGCTCATGCTATCCGCAGACGGGAAACTTGTTGATTGGCCGCGAAAATCAATTGTTCGCCTCTTCAACATGCGGACTCCGTGAACCCGAGCGCTACTGCATCGTGTCGCATTTGGAGGATCCCAAGAAATGCTTCTGGTGCGATTCCCAGGCATCATCCTATCCGAGACCAGAGCTCAGCCACAACATCAGTAATACCATTTACAGATACTATCCTGGGTTAGTTTAAATTAAACGTCATAATTTAACCATTATTATATTTTAAACATTATGTAGCACGAAGCAAAAGACATGGTGGCAATCCGAAAACGGTAAAGAAAATGTCTACATCCAGTTGGATTTGGAAGCGGAATTCCATTTTACCCATATCATCATCACTTTCAAGACGTTCAGACCCGCCGCTATGTTAATAGAGCGCTCCTACGACTACAAGAAAACTTGGCAGGTGTACCGGTACTTTGCACATAACTGCGAGGAAAGTTTCCCAGGAATTCCTACTGAACAAGCTCACAACCTGACAGACGTTACCTGCGAGTCCAAATACTCTAACGTCGAACCATCCACTGACGGTGAAATCATCTACAGAGTGTTACTCCCGCACTTCCGCATCGATAACCCTTATTCCCATGAAGTACAAACCTTGATGAGAGTCACCAATCTTAGAATAAACTTCACTAAGCTGCACACGCTTGGCGACGATCTGCTGGATAGACGCATGGAAATCCAGGAGAAGTACTACTATGCAATTACTGATATGGTTGTTAGAGGGTCTTGTTCCTGCTATGGTCACGCCCATCGATGCGTTCCACTGCAAGGACCATCCCCCAAGGTCGATATGGTTCACGGCAGGTGCGAGTGCACGCACAACACCAAAGGAAGGAATTGCGAGAAATGCGAAGACTTCTACAACGACCTGCCCTGGGGTCCTGCCGTTGGAAAACAAACGAACACATGCAAACGTAATTCACAAAGTTTTGTCGCTTCCTCTACCATCAACTAAATTTCTTTTATTCTCAGCGTGCAACTGCAACAATCACGCCACCAGCTGCCACTTCGATCCCGCTGCATACGAAGCTTCTGGTAAAGTAAGCGGTGGTGTCTGCGATGGATGCAAACATAACACCACGGGTCCAAACTGCGAACAGTGCAAATCGTTTTACTACCGGGATCCTGCCAAGGATATTCAAGACCCTGAAGTTTGTCGACGTAAGCAAATTCTATTGTTTCTTTATGCAGTAATTTAATTGTTATTTAATTGCAGCATGCGATTGCGATCCTCATGGGTCATTGGATAGTGGAATTTGTGATTCCACCACCGACCCTAACAACAACTTAATTGCCGGTGCGTGCCATTGCAAGACCAATGTGGAGGGTCGCCGCTGCGACTACTGCAAAGGAGGTTTCTGGAACTTCACGATGGAAAATCCGGATGGCTGCGAATCTTGTACTTGTAATACCTGGGGTACCATCAATAACCAAGGTTGCAATGTGTACACAGGCGAATGCACATGCAAACGCTATGTTATGGGCAGAGACTGTAACCAGTGCATGCCAGAATTCTGGGGCTTGTCAGATAAAAATGATGGATGCGAAGCCTGCGATTGCGACCCAGGCGGTTCATTTGATAATAATTGTGACGTTTTGACCGGTCAGTGCAAATGCAGAGACCATATGACAGGCAGAAATTGTACCATCCCTAAGCAACAGCATTTCACCGCCAGCTTAGACTTCTTGTTGTACGAAGCGGAGCTTGCTAAATCTACGTCGAATTGTCAAGTGGTGATCCGCGAACCTTATAGAGATGGACGTAAGGACACCTGGACAGGCACCGGATTTGTCAAGGCATTCGAAGATTCCAACATCATATTCGATATCAATAATATTAGGCGATCGATGAATTATGATGTTTCCATCAGATACGAAGCGATCGATAACTGGGAAGATATTACCATGAAGATTTTGAGACCAGATTTTCCCGATCCAAATGGATACTGCAAAGACGTTTCACCGCAGGACGACATTTTCCATATTAATTTGAATGCGAATAGCCGAAGCCATCAAGTGTTCCCTGCGATTTGCTTAGAAGAAGGCTTAGATTACCAAATCCAGCTTACATTCAAGCATTCATCATTCTCAAGAGAATCGCCGCAAGCATCAGTTCTGATAGACGCTGTAAATAAACGGTACCATACATTTTGAAAAAAATTTAAATTTTTAATTTACAGATCGTATTGGTGCCTAACTTGGAAAGTATACCATGGTATCATGGATCGGCACCTGCTGAAGCTAGGAGACGCGACTACGAAAACAACCAATGCGATAACTACGACGCCAAGGGTCCTGTATCTGAAGTATGCAAACATCACTACAACAGTATCGGAGCCTTCATATTCAACGGAGCTTTATGTAATTCTGACTCAAAAAATCTCGTTGAACTTGTTTCTTTAATTATTGTATTAATAATTCCCCAGCTTGCCAATGCGACCCAACTGGTTCCGTGAGTAAACTGTGCAGCGAGTATGGTGGTTTTTGTAACTGCAAACCGAACGTAGTTGGAAGAAGATGTGACCGTTGCGCTCCTGGAACTTACGGCTTTGGGCCGGAAGGATGCATTGGTAATTCAACTTGAAACAACAACATTTGTCAATTTTATAATATATTATATTTATAGCTTGCGATTGTAATAGCATTGGCGCTATGGATAACTACTGTAATGCAACAACAGGTCAATGCAACTGCAGAAGCAATACATATGGTAGGCAGTGCGATCAATGCAGAACCGGATTCTGGAACTTCCCTAATTGTCAGAGATGCGATTGCAATGGACACGCGGATATTTGCGATTCAAGAACCGGAGCTTGCGATAGTTGCAGGGACAACACACATGGTCACACTTGCGACAGCTGTATTGAAGGTTTCTATGGGGATCCTAGGTTGAGCGCTGATATCCCTTGCAGACCGTGCCGTTGTCCAGACATCGCAGGATCCGGTCATTCTTTCGCCGGCAACTGTTCCTTGGATGTCTACACCACGGATGTTGTATGTGAATGCCAAGAAGGATACTCAGGACCAAAATGCGACGTGTGTTCGGACAATTTCTACGGAAATCCGGAGGAAGCAGGCGGTTCTTGCCAGCCTTGCGATTGCAGCAATAAGATAGATCTATTAAAACCAGGCAACTGTGATGCAAGAACCGGCCACTGCAAGCAATGTTTATATGATACCATAGGCGAGCATTGCGAGATCTGCAGGCCGGGGTACTACCGCCAATATGATTCCGATGTTTGCATAGGTTTGTGTTTACTGCGAAATCACGCTTCTTGAAAATTATTAATTTTGTTTTGTTTTCTCAGTATGCGATTGCCATCCACTCGGCACCAACAGTACAATCGAGTTCTGCGACCATAACACTGGTCAATGTCCTTGCCTTCCGAATGTCATCGGCAAGGAATGCGGCGAATGCACCCCGAATCACTGGAAGATCGCCAGCGGTGTGGGTTGCGAGTCCTGTAACTGCGACCCTATTGGGTCATTGGACCCACAATGCAATCTGTACGACGGACAATGTAATTGCAAACCGAATTACGGCGGTAGACAATGTAACGAATGTAAAGCCAATTACTGGGGTAATGCTAAACTAAATAAGTGTCAAGGTGAGTAAGATATATCGGATTTGAGATAAGATAGCTGTATAGAAATGTTTACTTGAGCAAAATGAAGCTCGCAGTAAGCATTTCACATTGGTTACTGATTTTAATTATATTAGGCAAGTCGGTGGTTTTTAATTGGAAATTAAAATCATCTCTATTTTGCTTGCAGAATGTACGTGCGATATTCATGGATCGGCGACGATGCAATGCGACCGCAAGACCGGAGCTTGTGATTGTCATCCCGGAATCGGAGGTTACAAGTGTGATAGGTGCGCCAAAGGATACATAGGAGATGCTCCAAATTGCGCACCCTGCGGAGAGTGCTTCGACAATTGGGATAGAATTTTGACTGAACATAAGAGTAAATACCAGTTACATGGGCGACAGCGGTTTAAATACATTTTCTTTACATTTATTTTTCAGATAATACTGAAATCGAAATTGAGAGGGCTAAGAACATTAAGAAGGTTGGCGCGACTGGCGCTTATACCAAAGAATTCGAAGAGATGGAACATATGCTGAACGAAGTGGAGAACTTATTAAACAGCACAGAAACTATCGATTTGGATTCCATTGACAAGAAATCGAAGGTTCTAAACCAAAAGATCAAGGAGATAAATGAAGGCATCCTTCAAGACCTCAGCAGCAAATTGGCCATAACTTCTGAAAAGAACAAGGTACACGAGCTCCAATTACAAAACCTCAACAGTAAATTGGAAGCATCGATGAACCAAACAAGTATGTTGCTGGCCAATGGAACGGTATTACAGGAAGGCAATGTACAAGGCGCTTTGCACCTGATCGAACAAGCTAAAGTGAAAGCAGACAGAGCCGTGCAGAATGCAGAAAGCTCGCACAAGAACATCACGTATGCTGAACGCCAATGCAAAGCTGCTGACAATTTGATGAATATCACTGATCAAGATTACAATAAGAAGGAGAAGGAGGATAAACTAGCTTTACAAGATATTAGAGATCAGGTGGATGAGCTTACCAAGGCTTTACCGGATATGAACAATTTAGTATGCGACAGACAAGGATCTCCATGCGACGCAATTTGCGGAGGCGCCGGTTGCAATATGTGTGGTGATTCCGTATCGTGCGAGAATGGTGCTAAGCAGCAATCCGAGATCGCATTGATGCTTGCAAATACCACTGAGAATATCCTCAAGAAAACGGAAGCCAAGGCGTACGAATTCATAAGGAATGTAACCCTGGTCAATACAACATTGTCGAAGCAAAATGCCAAACAGGCGTTCGACGCTGCAGAAAAGGCTTACCTAAACTCCAACAAATCAATGGTCGAAATCAATAATAACAAAAAGCAAATTAAGGAATTTATGTCGCAGAATACTTCATCTCCGAAAGAATTGGATACTTTGGCCAAAAACGTGCTGAACCTTAACATCAACCTAGAGCCTAACAAGATCAAAACCTTAGCAGATAAAATTAAAAAGGCCGTCGACTCACTTACCAACATCGAGCCGATCATAGAAGAAACCAAAGACGATTTGAAATTGGTTAATCAGTTGAAGAGCGACGCCGATGCCACCAAGTAAATTCTCTCTACTAAACATCTATTCCAATTGTTAATTTTCTTATTTTAGATTGAGCGTACAACAAATTAAGAATACGACGGTAAGTGTTAAGAATGCTTTAGAAAACAGCAAGCTGGAACAGAAGAATGCCGACGACGCCATAAAGGATGTGAATGGAAGCTTAGGAAAAGTCAGGGAACATTTAACACAGGTAAAGATATTAATGCACGTTCATTATAAGCATCATGTATTCAATTATTTAATCTTAGATTGAAGAGAAGACGAACTACGCGAATGAGCAGGTGAATAAAACCGCAAAACAGATCAACGATTTGCACGAAAAAATGGATTCCCTTCAGTTGAACGTAACAAAAAATGCTCAAGCCGCTGCGACATTCATGCAGGAATCGAAGAACATTAAGGTTAAAGTTAAGGAGAGTAGGGAGAAGCTGGATCTGTTGAACAACAAATACAACTCGACGAAGAACAGGTTCGAGGATAAGATCAAGAAAGCAGATCTGTCGAGCGAGAAGGCCACAGAACTAGTGAAACGAGCCGTTCAGCTGACGGCGACTGTCACTAAGTGCGAGGAGGACATCAGGAAGATCAAGTCTTCACCCGGTCACAACCTGAAGGAAATGGAGGACAGGATCGAGCAGTTGATGATGGACATGGAGAAATACAATAAGAAAATTGAACAAAAGTCGGACTATTTCAAACAATGCACTTAAAAGATTATAATATATCTGTATATGTACACCCGATTATTTTCTTCTTTTCTTCTACGGTTTATATAACTCCTTCTGCATCTTAATTTATTACAACTGTATATACTGTCTATATATGTATTTCCATGTTATAACTTATTCTCAAGTTGCTATTCCGAAAAAAAAACCGAACGTGTAAATAATTTAGGTATCCTTTCCGTTAACGAATGTTTAAATTTTATATACTAGCCTAGTTTAATGTACGCTAATATTTTATATAGATGACACTGATTAATTACAAGAAAAAAAATCAAATGAAACATTCATTCATTCGCGATTTCGACGTCAATTTTAACTACTTTCCAGTTACAAAATTATCTTAAAAACTTGATATATCAAAACCTCAGTGCTCGGAAGACGTCGAAATAGTGCAATCAGTATGTAATCTGTTATTAAAATGCGAACGAATCTTTCATACTAATACTTTAGCTTTCATTAAATCAGAACTGAAAATTAACTTCTAATTATAAGGAATATTAATTCAGAATGTCAGCAAATAAGCAAAGCAATTTGTTCATAACATATTTTTTAATAACATAATTAGATAAATCGACCATTGTTTCAATTATCACTTACCTCACGGCATTAACCACACCTAGATTCTTCATCTTCCAGTTACTAATCAATACCTCAGTCTGCGCTCAGATTTACTGAAGCAACAGTTTCTTGATACTTAGATGCAACCTTATTAATTAAGTGTGTTAATAGGAGACGTGATCAATAAATCGGTCTTAAGGAAACAATCTCGTTTTCAATCAGATTTTGTTTATTCTCATCCAAAAATAATAACAAACAAATTAAGCAAATAATCGAAAATAAAGTGATATAATTATAAATATAAAGAGAGATAAGAAAACAAAATCACAGAGAAACTATTTACACAATAATATCTAGTTCTCTAGTTTATACTAAAATATATAGTATTGAATACCGTGAACGTGTTTGATATAACCAAATTTAGACTTTGTAAAGCAACAATTATTATTTGATTTCGTGCTTATTGTTAGTCAAACATAATTTATATTTAGTATGTTTAATATAAAATATATTCTCTTGAAGTGAATATTTAAAAATAGAACTGTATCATATATATTTATATAAAACACGTTCCACCTACATTGTTTAAACCTTTCGATTAAAGTGAATACAATGCGTTAACTTCAATAACAGTTTTTTTTTTGAGAACTTCATTATAAATTGTGTATTTTATTTTTCTTCCATTCTTTATTTATGCTACACGAATGCCGCTCGATAAGCATTTTGGCCTTTTTCATTGAATATATCACTCCATCCCCATTTCCTTTTTTTT